AATGAATGATAGGTATCTGGGCATTTATCATGCCTTCTCCTCTAACCTTTTTGATCTACCTTTAGGAAGAAAAGTCCTGTCAACGTCTTTTCTAATGAGAAATTCAGTTTCTTTATTTGTATCTCAGAAGTCATTTGGGGAAGACAATATTTCTCCTTAATAAAAGTTAAAATAAAAATCTTTACAATGAGGAGAATGGGAAACAAGCAAGCAGGAGGCTGCAGTGGTAGTTTTAATAGTTTGATCCTGGGGGAGAGACGATATCTATTAAGCTATAACCATGTGCCAGACATAAATAGTAGGCTTTGCATGGATTCTTGCCTAATCTTTGCAACAATGTTATGAGCTAATTACTGTTATTAAGCCTATTTTATAGGTGAGAAAATGAGGATCAGAGAAGTCAATTTGCCCAAAGACATTAACTGGTGCAACCTGATCTTTCTCCTTCCCTTCCTTACTTCTTTTTTGAGTGTGCACTTATCACATGCTGAATCCTGGAGGGGTTGAACAACTTGTCTAAGGTCACAGAGTCAGAAAGAGGCAAAGAAGGACTCAAAACCAGACCTATGGGACTTGAGAATCTGTGTCCTTCATTAAACTACATTTTTTCGTCACAGATCTCTTTGCAGACTTCAGGGAACTCATTTCACTTTCTGCTCTCCTTTGAATTAGCCTCACACTATGGCAGCCTGTAGCTGGGCTTCTGAATAGAAGGAGACACAGGTGTTTTTCTACCAGCCTTCTCCGGTCTTGAATTTGCTAATTCTCTACCACCAGCAGCTCTTCTTGAAACTTTTGCCTGGTCCAGTTGCCACCAGGGCCAGGGACCTGGGAAGCCACCCTTAGACTTCTGAGCTTCCGGCAGCAGCCCCAGCTGTTTGTCAACAATGGTTAGGAGGACTGAGAGCTCCCATCTCAGATCAGTGCTCGATCAGAGGACAGAGGTGAGTGACTTCATGGGGAAAAAAAAGGGGTGTGCTAGCCTATCACGGCCATCTGGAAACAGCCAGATGTGATGGCGTCAATGGCCCAAAATGCCATAAGTCACTTAGAATCCTATTCTCATTTTAACAGTGCTGTTTTTGATGCACAGTAGATAAGCCTGAAACCGAATATACAAAAATGCTAACAGAAGGAATATGGATAATTGGTGTTAGGTCAATAAGATGATGAGGAATATTTTTCTTTTATTTTCCAAAATTTTGATGATGTGGTTTTAGTACCTTTAAAAAGAAAATGTTAAAGTTATGTTTTTTTAAAAAGTACTTTTTTTCTCTCTTTGATTACACAGCATTCTAGAAATAGCTAGAGAGGACACATGGGCAGATGAAATAATGTAGGCCAGATTCTCAAATTCTGGATTTATCTTCCTACAGAATTTTCTGCAGCGGATTGGAGAGGAGCTACAATTACATAGCTAGGGCTACATTTACTCACTGGGTCACGAGATTTCAGGTGACAAGGGAAAATGGTTCACAGGAATGGCCTGGGAGGTGGAAATAAGGCAGCAATCAAAACTGTCCTCAGCTCTACAGCTTACAACTGCAGAGATACACACACACAGCTGTCCTCAGCTACACAACTTACAATTGCAGACACACACAGAGCTGTCCTCAGCTCTACAACTTAGAACTGCAGAGATACACACACACACAGCTGTCCTCAGCTCCACAACTTACAAGTGCAGACACACACACACACAGAGCTGTTCTCAGCTTTACAGCTTACAACTGCAGAGGTACACACACAGACTCACACACACAGAGCTGTCCTCAGCTCTACAAGTTACAACTACAGAGGGACACACACATACAACTGTAATTTACAACTGCAGAGGTACACACACACACCCAAACACACACACCTGTCCTCAGCTCTACAACTTACAACTGCAGAGATACACACTCATGCACAGCTGTCCTCAGCTCTACAACTTAGAACTGCAGAGGTAGACAAACACACACACACACATACACACCCACCCCAGCGGTCCAGTTGGTTGATGCTTCCAGGTTTCCCCCGCCCCTGTAGCTGCCATCACACTAGTTGGTCTCTCTGGGCACTCTGCTCTATTTTGCAATACTGCTCTTGTCCTTTGAGTAGACAATCTCAAAATCCTCCTATTTTCCTCCCATCTTTTAGCAGAAATAAAGGCAGAATTCTAAAATAAATCTTTACCGGAAAGTTGAAGGGAAAACAAGTAAAAAGTCCTGGAAAGAAATGATATAATGGAGAACAGATTCTTTTATCTTAATGTAACTCAAATCTAGCCACAGATCTGCTTTCTGGGAACCCAGATTATAAATTTCTTTATAAATGTCTAAGCCTAGGCTGCTGTGGATGCTGAAGGAGTCCCTTGGAGCCTCTAAGCTGGGGTACCTGCTCTGCCCCTGCCACGTCTGAGAAGAGTTTTGGCCTCCGCTCCTGTCTCCTCTCTAGGTAGCCACCCCGCTGGGTTCAGGCAGCTTTCAACTGCCCTGTCCTTCTTATCCTTTCTGGTCTCTTGGTCTCCTGGGAAGGGAAGGTGCTTTTCTCTCAGGCCCGGTATTCAACCTCTGGATTTAGGTCTTCCTTGTCTTCTTTGTAGATCCCTTGCTTTGCCCTTTCTGTAAGTCTGTAAGACCCACACATCTCCCTGTCTTGTCTAGTCATTAGATAAATGTCAAGACTCAGTTTCTCCTACCTGGGATGGCAATCTTTACACTCATACTCTCGGGAGCATCCTAATTTCAATCATTCTACTCTATTGCTGCAATAAGTATACACCTACTTGTCCAACCATGCGTCCCCAGTTTGTTTAATACAGTCACCCTACCTACGTCTTTGGCTAGTGTCTTCCCCTATTCTCACAAATGGACAAAAGGCCATAAACAGCAGATGGCCTTTTTGGAGGATTCCCTCATGTCTGCTCCCCCATCAGGGAGGCAGAAGCCTGTATCCTCACCATCCTCCAGAGCTGACAACCCCCAACCTCTGCCTCCTCGTCTGGATGTTCTCTTAATTCCTGTTCTTCATCTGAGAGATGCCTCTGACTGAAAATTCATTTGCAGAGCAGAGATAATTGACACACTCTGAACCCAATGAATGTTCTAGCCGGTCTTGCCATAGGTTATCCTCTCCCGTCTCTCACCCAGGTCCTCTCTGGGCCCCTCCTCAGGGAGTAATCTTGCAGAATTCTACTCATTACAGTTTTACAACCTGAAAATCTCTTAACCATATCATAACCCATATACAATAAGAGGAGGGTTGATTACTCACACTTTTACAGGAAAATGGACAGCTGTCTCCCTAGGAAGAAAAATATGGGTCTCCACCCTACCATAAAAAAATCCCAAGATGCCCCAGAATGCAGTTTCTTTTCTTCATGACGTGTTGGAAAGCACGTCAGCTGCTCCTTGTTGCTGTGCAGATCGCCCAACGCTGGGTCACTGAGACAGACGGCAGCACTGGCTCGCACAGCTCATAGGATTAGGAGCTGGTGCTCTGTCAGCCTTGAGTGAGTCCGAGAAAGCCCCAGCATACGCAGGTGAGCCATGAGGAAGAGCGGATGTGGGGGACCGCGATGGGTCTCTGTTGTGTGATGATGTTTTCTCTTTGCGTGCATTTGTATTGTCTTTTCTGTGAAGTTCACAGTCTGGGGAGTTCCTATCAATAAAAACCTGTCCTTCATCACTTCTCTGGTGTCAGGGATTGGCCACATACAACTCACAGGATTTTTGTGAGGCTCAAATAAGATTATATATGTGAAAGAGCTCTGAAAATATAAAGTTGTGTGCAAATGAGAGGTATGAAGCATTTAATTACAAATTTTACATAAACAAAGAATCAAATAATTTACCCCAGATATGAGGGCATAATTACATAAACACATTCCTCGTCCCCCAATTTACAATACTCTCTCTCCCCTGTTCCTTCCCAGGTCAAGGGAGTGCTATTATTTATAATCTTGAAGGGTTCCGGCCTTCTAAAGCAGTTGATGTTTTCTAAAATCCAGCATTACATTCATTTCTAAAGGAAAAGCCACAAAACCATAAAACCAGAGAATAAAATAAGTATTTAAGTAGAAACTGAAAATGATGCATGAGAATATTTTAAAACAGATGAAAGATGAATATAATATGCTGTATTAGATTATATCTCTTTGATGGTATAATCCCAATGTTATAAGACATTTCCCTTAATGACATGAGAAACACTTGAATGAAATTAAAGCCAACATAGATATTATCATTTGTAAAACTGGCCTTTTAGAACAGTAGGAAAACAAGCTTGGGTTCCAAAAGTAGAGAGCTAAGAGGCGTTTGAACACTAGATTGTCAGCCTTTCCCTAGGCAGGGTTGCTATGGTAACGGTGGGCTACCACACAGCCTCTCACTGCCTGCACTTCTGCAGTAAAAGCTTTCACTGAGCACGTGTTGGATTTTTTAGGCACACACCCCATCAGCAAGTACAAAGACATACCGGAGGCAGCTTTATCTGGGTCGTTTTCAAAACAGAAGTTATTTCTGTGTTTTTTATCCTGTACTGATGGGCCCCTCATGGGGTTATAGAATTCACTTATTCATGCATTCGTTCATTTGGCTGTTCTGTATTGATCGCCTACTGTGTGACAGGCCGTGTGCTAGGCACTGCCAGTGAAGACAGACAAGGCATTCTGACCCAAGATCATAACAGCTTTCCTGGGGTAAATTAAATACAGGTGTCCTGGAAGTACCTAAGGACTGACCTTCTTCAGGGGCCACGGGAGGTTTCCTGGAAGAAGCTGTCTCTAAAATGGAACCTAATGTATCTTTAGGATTTGAGGAGGATGTGTGGGTGGTGTATAAGAAATGCTCTAGACAAAGGGACCAGCATCTGCAACAGTCTAGAGGAAAAAAGAGAACCTCAGGCCCCAGAGAACTGAAAGTTCTACAGTCTGAGGGGTTTCTGTTTGTATGTGGAAGGAGGGGGGGCAGGGGCAGGCGGGGGGGGGGGGAGGTGAGGGGGTCTATAGAAGAGGAGTGGCAAGAAACGGAGACCAGAGAGGCAAAACAAGGCCAGATCGTAAAAGGCCTTCGTGCCACATTAAGGACTTTGAACATTACTTGGAGGACAACCGGGAAGTCATTAATGGGTTTTAATGAAGAAGCTTGACTTGACCTTTCCGAAAGGGCTTGTGGAAAAATTGAAAAGCTGGTGAGAAAGGAGTAAGAGGCAAGACTGGAAGCAAGACAACTTCAGTTAGACCACTATTGCAGTAATCCAGGATGTTTGTGGTTTAGCCTCTAAATGGAGATAATGGAGTCAAACAGAGGACAGAAGTCATCAGATTCAAGAGATTAAAACTAGAGTGGCGTGGAGCGCACTTAGTGGTTTCTGCTACGTGGGGGCCACAGGAGGGAGACAAAGTCGACAATGACTCTGAGGCTCCTGCTTGGACAGCTCAGTGGAGGGTGCTTCTGCTATCAAGCCACCAGGCTCAATTCTCAGTTCTTAGTAGGGAACTCAGAAGCGCCTTTTGACCTTAACAGTTGATTGCTATGCCACAGTATATGTCCTCAGCTCATAATTTTGGAAATCATAGATTGTAGGAATCATCCTAGACAGTTACTTTCCTGAAGTCCATATCTGAGACAGCTGTGGGTATAGAAAGAATGAATTAATCACCTTTTCCCCTCAAATAAAGAATCCTAAGATTACCAACCTCACTGCTTAAGAGAGCTAAGTAGACTAAAAAGGCATGAAGCTGTATGGAGTCAAATTTCTTTTAGGGTATAGGAAGAAGGCAAATTGATTTCACTTCTCCTCTGACTTCAAGCTGTCTCTAGACTCACACCGTACATTCCTAGACTTGAGAATTGAGGACTCAGGAAAAAGCTGTTTGGAGGGCAGACAAATGGGGATGGTGGAGGTTCAAGTACTATTGTCGAGGATCATCGTCGTCCCGTGTGGGACACTGGGGTGTAAGGATCAGACTCTTCCCCACCTGCCTTGCTTCTTAGAATGTTCTCCGCGTCAGAATAAAGGGCATCTAAGTTATTATACATGTTGAATTCCATCACCGGGTAAGATTTAAATATAGTAAGTGTAATAAATCGAGGCCTGTGACCCAGCCCATGATCCCGATTCAGAGTCCTCAGTTGGCAGGTTTTTGAGCTTTTTTCAACAAATTTGTCTGCCTCACAAATTTTTCTGCCTGTCAGGTAAGAGGCCTCAGCAAATATTGAATGAACGACCTGGACGTGACTTAATTGTCCTTTGGAAAGTTCTGTTCAGTCAGCTAGATACAGCTGTTTTGTTTTCCTCATCTCATCCTCCCAGCTACCCCCGAGGTAGCGTATTATTATTATCATCCCTCAATTTAACGAGGATAATTTGAAGTTCAAAGAGGTCAAGAACTTTGGGCATAAAGGCACTCCGCTTGAAGGGACTGGACTGCTGCCTTGAACCCGGTTTTCTGAGTTCAAGTGCGGCGTCCTTCCCATCGCTGGGTGCCTGGGGCTGACCCCCGGGCTGGGGCAGAGCTGGAGAAAAGGCTGTTCTCGCCCTAAGCTGCCTGGCTTCCCCACGCTCGCGGGAGCCAGCCTCGGGGGTCTTTTCCTGCGACAGGCCCTTCCCATGAGAATCCCCCAAGGAGAGTCGCAGCCTCTGAGCTCCCGGACCGAGATGCTGTGTCAGTGCTGCAGCATCGGCTTGGCCGGGGTCCGGGTGGAGGGGGACCCGCCCGTCTCTCTCAGGAGAGGTAATTGCTGGGAGCGGTGTGTTGACTTAAAACCGAGAGGGCAGGGAGGGGCCGCGAAGGAAAAACTTTCCCTTTCTCCATTTTGGCTCTCCATGATGTCGCAGCTCTTCTCAGCTTTTCCATCCAACGTGCACCCCCTGCAAACCGGATACCAGGTGCCAAACAGAGGGCGTCGGGCCCCTTCGGGCTGGAGATGCTCCGAGCCTGCGCCTGCCCCCTCCGGGTCGGACTCGGGAGAGACCGAGGGGTGCGCGGCCCGGGGTGGGGAGTGCCAGAGGCGACACGGGGTGGGCGGGGCATGCTGAGGAGCCGTCCGGGGCCGGCAGGTGAGGGAGGTCGGGGGAGGGGCGGCGCCCCGGGAGCGGCCGCGGGCGGCAGCGGCGGCACCACGTGTCCGGCCTGGGCGGGGCGGCCGGGCGCGCCCTCGGAGCTGAGCGCGAACGGCGGCAGCGGCGGGGGCGCGTCAGCCCGCAGCAGCGGCCGCCCGCAGCCGGCGCGGGCTCAGTGCGGTGTCCTGGCTCTGGTGTACGCAGGTGCCTCCTCCTGGACGGCGGCAGCGGCGGCGCGAGGACCCGGCCGGCAGCAGCGCGATGGGGCCCCTCCGGGAGACCAAGGTAAGGAGGGCACGTCGTGCGGGCGCGGGCGGCAGTGTCCGTCGGCCCCGGAGGGAGAGGGAAGGTGGGCACTGCGGGGCAAGAAGCGGGTCAAGTGAGGGCTGGAGGGGTGGCGTTTAGAGTCAGAGTAAACGGGGACAAGAGGGTGATGGGGATGGTGGGAAGGCAGAGGGGGCATTTGCTCAGGTGATGAGACCGGGGAGATGGGGAGGTGGTACTGGAGGAAAAGATTCGGGGGATTGACTCGAGGATTAAAAAGATTGATTTGAAGGGTTAATCCCATCTCCTGAAATTGGGGATTTGGGATCTAGCTCTCAATTGATGTCCTGTGCGTGTGATGCGAATAAAATGGATTTAATGTATTGGTGACTGAGAAATAAGGACTCCAGCATGTCAGCGACTCAGCATTGGTTCAGGGTCTGCAGTGTGCCGAGTGGCTGGCTGACGTGTGATACCTGCTGGGTGACTGATGTGCAGAAGTAATCCAGAGGCTGGGCGCGGCTTTCGCCCCTGGATGGGGTGGATGCCTGAGCGACCTCAGCCATTCCCCGCGGCTGGGGCTTGCCATTCAATTCCTGCGCTGTGCGGATCTCCCAGAGGTGTTTACTTTGGCACCGACCCTTCCTGGTAAGGAGCGTGGAAATAAGCAGGAGGTCGTGTTTCGAAATAGTGTTTGTTACCTAATCCGAAACCTTTTTCGATTGCCGAGGTTCGAGGAAGCAGTGGGCTTTTTGCAAAGAGCTCCTCCTAGGAATCCATTTTAATAAGACAGGGTGGTGGTGACCCTGAAAAGCGCTGGACTTCAGGCTTCTAGATGATGTGCAATCTTGGCTAAGCATCTTTACCTCTTTTAGCCTCAGTTTCCTCATCTGCAAATAGGGATACAAATCAGTGTCTCTGTATGGCCTGGGTTGTAAAGGTTAAATGAGATATTGGTTGGGAAAGCACTTTAAAAATTGAAAAACATTGCCAAAATATTACTTTCTATGCATTTTTTTTTTTAACCAAGGCATGGCCGTCTGTCTTTAATGCTGTATTAAGGAGAGAGAGAAAAATCTCTTGTTACGGGTGTCCTGTAAGGAAAACAAAAGCTGAGCATGATGTAGAAGGTGGAGCCATCTTACCGGGTGTTGGATTTGTGTTTGCTTTTCTGTTGGCAACAAGCCTTGTGTACCAGGATATTAATGAATAATTAAGATCCTGGCCGGAAGAGGAGGGATTTGAAAGATAAGGCGCATGATCTAACAGGAAAGAATTGTTCCAGGTGGTCTACTTTGTGAGGGGACAGGAAAACAGAAGTCACATTGTCACAGCTAATTCAGGGAAAGTGAAATGGAAGTCTAAAGGAAATCGAATAATAAGCTGTGAGCCTTTGAGAGCGCCTTGAGTGTGATAGAAAAAGCCAGAGTGGGAAGGTAAGTTAGGAATGGCCTGGAGAGTGGAATGGCCTTCCTGCTAGTGGGTGGAAGTGTGTGTGTGTCCGTGAGTGTGCACATCCACGCCCCAGTGTGTGCTTTTCAGTAGATTGGAAGGGTTAGCTCAGTAGAAGAGTTTCGGAGTTCATTTCAACAACTGAGATAAGGATGACTCTGTGAAGATTCCGTATTCAGAAATGTGATTTCTTAGAAACTGCGAGCACAGAAGGAGCAGCCAGGAGTTAAGAGGGGGAAACAAGTTTCCTTCTGTTTTCTTTTTGATATCCAATTTTGAGAAGGAGCAAAGAGTGCAGCATCATGAGAAGGAGATTTCCCGAAGCCGAATTCCCCGTTTGATTCTTCGGCCCCATCTGCCCCAGCAACAGCACAAAGTGTCCCCAGCCTCTGAGTCTCCCTTCTCGGAGGAGGAGAGCCGAGAATTCAACCCCAGCAGCTCTGGGCGCTCAGCGAGGACCATTAGCAGCAACAGCTTCTGCTCAGGTACGGTGTTCACAGGAAGCCACATGCGGGCATGAAGCGTGTGCCCTGTGGGTGCGTTGTGAATGGACCGGGAGTGGGCCCCTTCGAGCCTAGAACTAGACTTCTGTTATTAGGATGAATTGTATAAGGTTGCACCTTTTTGGCTGTGTTGACCTGCAGATACAGTAGTTTCATTTGGTTCAACCCAATGGAATTTCATGCCTGTTTTTATATATTATTCTAGTTTATAATTCAGAATGTAAAATAGAATTTCTTGTTTCTATGACTATTTAAAAAAATAGATTCCTTCTTAAATCTGGAAAATGTATTAGCTTGCATTTTATACTAGCAACCTTTATAAGCCTTTGTACTTTTATTTTTGGAATCTCCAGAGATAAGGCAACTCCTAGTGAATGAGGTCAAGATCAAGGAGGCTTGTATCCCAGGCTTGGCTTGACCGTGTAGTTTAGAGGGGAAGAGCACAGGCTTTGTAATCTTCCAGGCCTGAGCGGGAATCCCTGACCTTTCCGCCCTTGCAGCCCAAGCTCTGTGACCTTGGGCAAGTTGCTTAACCTCTTTAAGCCTCAGTTGTTACTTCCATGAAATGGGATGATAATACGTACCTTGTATAGTTGCTGTGAGATTGAATGACGCCACTTACCTAAATGTCCTAGCTCAGGGCCTGGCGTATAGACGTGCTTCATAAATGATGGGTCTTAATATAAAGGGCTGTGGATGTCAGTTTTGGAACATGATTAAGGAAAGTTTCCTTGTGTTGTGAGCATATTTCGTAAAGGCACAAATCTCTTTGTAGCTCCCGAAGGTGCCACCAGTATCACTTAACAGGACCTGATTAATCAACCCACTGAAGCACATAACTTAGAAGAACTTGTATTCTGTCAGAAGTATTAGGAATTTGGGTAAAATTTAAAGGAGTGACTGTCTTATGATTAATGAAGAATGTTTCATAATGGACAATTTTTAGAACTTATTTAGGGAAAATGTAATTTGGAGATTAGCACATGTCTGAGAAGGGACATGTGAATCCAGATGCTATGATTAATGCCCTCATTTAGCAGGATGCAATATTCCATTATATTTATCATTGGTAACTACATTTTTCAGAGATTTTTTTTTGGAAAGTGTAGCTTTAGATTCATTATATACTTTCACAAAATAATTGTATCCATGAGTTATGTATTAGAAATACTGTGCTGCCTATTTTTTAATTTTGTCTCTGTAATGATTCTCTGCCTCAGATTCTCCGCTTGGTTCTGAAAAATAATTGTATGAAAATATTAGAGTTTAGAACTTCTTTATTATTGTTTGAATTGTATGAGTCTAGCTTAAAATGGAAACCCACTGAGGGTTTGCATGATACTCTCCCAGGAAGAAAACAAAAGGAAAACTGACAAGCTGGAGCGGTTAAGGTCTCTAGAACCCAGAGTCGTATTTGCAGAATGTAACACTGTTTACTTGAACTCCATTTTGGAGCTCCGGAATCTCTCTGGTTGAATGTGGATGAACCCAGGGGATATCATTTCAAACTGACACGGCTTTGTTTACATAACTCAATTCCACATTCATTCCTGATATTCTCTCCACATAATTATTTTCTCTGTGACTTACTTCCGGGTGAGTGGTGTTATCAGAACAAAAGAAAAGTTTGGTCAAAACAAAGCAAAAGAAAAACTCCAAAAATATTTTAGAAAATATATTTGGCAAACCAGTAAAATATTAATTTGGGTCTTGAATCATTCTCTCCAAGATCCATTTCCTGCTTCATCCCTTCTTCCCCGGAGACCTCTCTCCCACTAAGGCCATAATGCTGTACATGAAAATCGAAAGTAGATATTGATCCTTCTGCCATTAACTAGCTGAGAATTGAGTGGCAGAAGCGTCTAATTATGGGTGTCTATAAACCTACCTTTCGATCTGTAGCCTTGCATCCTGTCTCTAGATGGGATGCCCTCCCTCCCTCGGCCTTATCTTCCTGTGTCGGCGATTCCCCAAGGTTTCGGTTGGTGCTTTTTCCTTCTTTGCTTTCCTTTCCTCCGAACCCTGATAAACCTCACCACAGCTCTGAGTGCTGCGCTGACTGCAGTTGACAGGAGCAAGCCTTTGGGGGCATGTTAATGATGCTTTAGGAGGTCACTTGGTGGATGGGAAATAAATGGGTTTGGTACTATGGGGAGCATTAAAGCTGCAGGCAGTGAGGTAGAGAATGTAAAACACATCCAACCAGCAGGGGGAAATAGCTGGTTTTAATCCAGCCGCTTGAACACAGGCCAGAATATGTGTTGGTTGCTTAATCACGGCAGTTAAGTCAGAGACCAAGGTACATGCAAACATTAACAATGCATTAACAATGCCATCCTCTGCTAGAATGAAACTAAGATAATTTAGAGATGTCTTTTGCCGCCGTAGCTTCATAACCTTACAGGGATCATTCTACATTAGTTTGTCATCTTTACAAATCATCGCATTGACTAATGTGGAAGGAAACATTCAGAGTTAGGGGGATTCTAACTATGTCCTAGTGAAATTATACAGGAAGATGTGACTCAAACACAGTGCACTTTAATCGGAAGATTACATTTTCAGACCTGCAGGCTAGAGACTCTTTCCCCAAATCTGTATCAAGGGCTGTATTAATTGGGAAGAGCATCGTATGTTCTAAGATATTTAGTTTTTAAAAGAAGGATAATGCAGTGAGTTCATATAAAGTTAAGTTTACTTAATATAAGGGATTATCCTCTATTTTCAGAGTCTGCCTTTCCTATTGTTTGTA